CCGCTTAGAGAGGGCTGAAAGCCCTATGAAGCAGTATATAAGTCTAACTGCTATTGCTAACTGCTAAATGGCTGTCCAATCTCTTCTTTAAAATCTCCAGCGTTGGAGCACCTACATCTGATGGTGAAGGGGGGGACAGCTGACTCTAGCACCCTCTAATGTGTGGGCTTCAACTCCCAGAATTCTCAGCAATGGCTATTCTGGCTAGCAAACTCTGGATCCTCCACTCAACTCATCTAGAGAACATTACTCTCTTTGGAAAAAGGTAATGCAGAGATTTGGGGGGGGGGGGGTTCCTGTCTGTTTTGATAGCTATATAGCATTTCACTGAGTTATATTTTGAGCATGAACCAATTATTTTAAAATAATGACATGAAAGTATCTGGCTGCTTGCTAAATTCTCTGCAAGACCGTAATACAAGTCTGGAAAATAAATCAGTATTCTTAACTTCTTTGTAAGCCGCCCGGAGTCCCTCGGGATTGGGTGGCCTATAAATCTTATTAATAAAAATAAATAAAATAAATAAATAAACTACCAATTACCAAACTGGATGATCAGCTATGGAAGTATGACATAGCTACCTTTTCTCAAAGCAGAAAGCAGACAGGAATAAAACCTGTCATTTTGGGGAGAGATTTTGCACACCCCTAATTCTTATCCTTTCTTATCTTACACAGCATCTTAAAATGTACAGTCCTGTGATTTGCCTCACCAACTGGCCACAAAAGTTTGCAGATTTTCTCTCTCAAGCCCTATCCTGGGTGAAATAATTAAACGGTTTCTATTCAACTGCCAGAGGCAAAGATCACATGCAGACAACTTCATGGATTAATGAATAAATTATCATATTACAACATCAAAGATGCAGGGTGTTCTTCTCCAATTTATTTAAAACTTCTGACCTGATTTCCTAAATTTAGAAAACTGCCCTATTTAAATGATCAAATTATGAACAGAAGACAGGTTGATCTATTATTCTGTATACCTGCTGGAAGGGCTTTGTAAAAAAAAATGTAAATTGCCATGCTTGGCTTCAATAATCTGGCTAAAAAAATAAAAGTTTACTCAAAATTCCAAATGGCCTCCACGTAAGGTTGTGAACAGTGGAATATCTAAACCTGCATTTATGTTCCTTTAACAGTCAAACAGATGCTTTTGAGAAGATTAAATAAAGGCATAAAGAATATAATCGCTTTCTGCCTCTTTCACCGCCATGCCTAGAATCTACTATCAAGTGTTTTGGAAGTAGTTGACCATTTATTTACTTGTATCCTGGAGATTCTCGGTCATCCAGGTCAAGGTTGTCCCAAAAGTGCTTTTTAAGAGGCAACTAACTGGTTTGAGCTGAAGAAGCTTCTTGGATGAGACATGAAACATCTTGCAAGAAAAACTAGAAAGTCCAGCTGCCTCTTGAAAAATTATGGTCTAGCCTGGTACCTTTAACCCAGAGGTGGGTTCCTACCAGTTCGCACCTATTCGGTAGAACCGGTTCGTCAAATCTACCGAACCGGTTAGAAGAGGTTCCACCAGTGGANAAATTTTTGGAACCTCTTCTGTAGGTGTGGCCTGCTTTCCGGGTCCACTGGTGGAGCCTCTTCTAACCGGTCCAGTAGATTTGACGAACCGGTTCTACCGAATAGGTGCAAACTGGTAGGAACCCACCTCTGGTATAGGGTTTCCTTTCTAGGCAGGGGGTTGGACTAGAAGACCTCCAAGGTCCCTTCCAACTCTATTTTTCTATTCTATTCTAAGATGTGTGGACTTCAACTCCCAGAATTCCCCAGCTAATTCTGGGAGTTGAAGTCCACACATCTGAAAGTTGCTAAGTTTGAGAAGCATGGGTGTGAAAGGACGGAACAAATAGAGTTTGTGTAAATTAGATTTAATTAAAATTGCCTTTTCTTTCATTTTCTTACTCACACTTTGAATTTCACTTGCTTACCGCCTTCTTATTTCATGTTTGCATTTTGCATATTGTTGTTTACTCTAAAAAGAAATGGTATTCTGGATATGTTCCTTTTTTAGTTTAATTTTTATTTTCTTTTTTTGGTATCCATAGCATTTTTCAAAATTGTATTTTTAAGTCTTGTTCCACATGAAAAAGTTGCTGACTTCTGCTTTAAAAATATACCTAAATATGTAAAACCTAAACGCAATATATGTGCACACTCATAAGAGATTAACGAGAAGTTACATCTGTCTGCTGGAAAAATTCAAATTTACCTTTGCATAATACCCTAAAAATCAAGAGCTGTGTGTTTTTTTCAATTTTTTTGTTAAGTATTCTATGAAAACAAGGCAAAGGGATAGGTATAACATTTTCCACTGGCACCGCTAGTTTCTATTTTTTGTTAGCACAATTACTATTCCGTTTCCAATTAAATTAACTGCAGTTTACTATTGATCTAATATAGTAAGGACTTTACAAGATTAAATTTTAACAAGGTAGAATTTAGGCAATCAGGTCTAAGCTATGCTCGGTGAAGGTGGCCAGGCGTTGCCATTCCCTTTAATTCCATTAACTTAAAAAAATATTCACAGTCACACCCTATACAGTCTTCAGACTTGCTGACTTCTGTGCTTGTATAAATGTTTTTCTGGAAGGAAACCAGAGTCTATCTTGCTAAAACAGAACACAGGTGTGATTAAACAGTGATAATTAAGTTTTTTTTTTTAACTTCCCCTTGGCAGGCAGTTATGTCATTTATATTTATAAAATAATAATCACTGTTAGGAGGTCAAGTTGCTTTTTTCAGGAGGGACCAATAAGCAGACAATCAAAACAGAAATCTATTCGTCCTTTAAAAGATTAAGTAAATCTTTTCTAGATTATTAGTAGACTTTTTCACCATCTAAAGGTTGACACCTAAGTCACAGCAAGCCTGCAACTTCCTTCCATATCAATTACTAGAATAACAGAATTGGAAGGGACGTTGAAGATCTTCCAGTCCAACTCCTGCACAAACAGGAGACTCTATACCATTCTTGACAAATTCTAGAGCCGAGGTGGCGCAGTGGTTAGGGTGCAGTACTTCAGCTGACTGCTAGTTCTGCAGCTCGGCGGTTCAAATCTCATCGGCTCAGGGTTGACTCAAGCTTCCATCCTTCCGAGGTGGGTGAAATGAGGACCCAGACTGTGGGGGCGATATGCTGACTCTGTAAACCGCTTAGAGAGGGCTGAAAGCCCTATNGAGAGAGAGAGAGAGGGAGAGAGAGAGAGGGAGAGAGAGAGAGAGAGAGAGGGAGAGAGAGAGATGTGTAATCACGATAAATGTGATGACTATCCAGAGGCTGCTCATGTGGCACATCGCTCAGTGAAGTTGATTGCTGCTATATATTCATAGCCCATGATTGCACTGGTGTCTTCACACATTATGGCATAACACAACTGTATAATATTATATGTTGCTTCATATTTAAAAACTGTGGGGTCATATGGACACCATAGATATTGTTTTTGTAGGACTTTACATTTTACAGGATATATTTTGTAGGAAAATATAGGATATTTTTCAAGCAATCTAGTCAAAATACACAATGCTGTACTATTTTTCTCCCAGTCAAATGAAATCATGCTTATGGTAATTACACCCACTTACTATTTTAATATTTTGTTTAGCCTGCTTTCTTATAGTATAGTCACCCTGCAGTCCCAGATTTGTAAAGGCATATTTCTCTCAAGGAAGAATACAATGCTGAGTATTTGTTTGAAATCAATGCTGTATTTTTAATACACATTATTCAACTATTGGAATCTTTCTGGACTCAGATAAGAAATGTGATATATGTAGCATTTGTATTTTTTTTTAAAAAAATCTCTTTTTCTCCTTAGCTTTCAATGGCCTTAGTGGAAAATAATTCTTAAGGTCAATTTGAAAAGCAGCATTTATGAGTTTAAAAGCAATGGACTTAGAAAGCAATACAACAGCCACTAGTAGAACTAAAAACAAAACAAAAAATGAAACATCATGTATTTTGCATATAACTACCCACTCAAAAAGAGGGAAATGTTATGTTTATTATTTGAACATATTACAACATTACATGCTAATGCTGAATTATACAACTATCTATGGAATTTACTTCTTGCTAGCTTTTAAAGAGAGGCCGAATCCACCAGATAATTTGATGAGTTTATTGAATCCCATTGTTTTTCTCAAGCGTAATATAATTTTTAGGCTTCAGCTGTTTGAGACTTACCTCAAAAGCATCTGACAGACTTTGCAGGATGTTACACGCGTGAAGGTATACATTTTAAAGTCATGTGTATTTGTTTCTTCAAACTGGGGTCTTATGTTTGACCTAGAATGTAAAACGGATTCTTTAATATTCATAAATATTAATAGAGCAGTAATTCCATTTTCAAACCTAGAAAAAGCTGCAGGTAATGTTTAAATGTGCATTTTAATAAGTTGTTCGGTATCGTGACCCATCAAAACCGCGGTCCACTAAAGCGCGCCTGATTAAAGCGCGTACCTGACGCAACAAATGTGACCGCAGAAAAAAAGGGCGCTTTAAAAAGCGCTTTTACAGCAAACTGATTCACATAAAGGTAAGGGTTAGGGTTAGGGTTAGGGTTAGGGTTAGGGTTAGGGTTAGGGTTAGGGTTAGGATTAGGTTAAGGGTTAGGGTTAGGGTTAGGGTTAGGTTTAGGGTTACGTTAAGCGTTAGGTTAAGGGTTAGGTTA